AAAAAAGAAAAGAAAAGACGTGGCAACCCACCAAACCACATCCTTCTCGAAAAACTGAGATGCAAAAAGACGCAGGGACTTTTGCGGGTACAAAAAAAATGAAAATGAAAATAGAAGGGCGAGAATAAAAACCCCCTCCCTCCCTCCTTCTCCCCTCCTCCCCTCCCAAAAAGAAAAATCTTGAATCCGTTACATTACTTATCCTTTCCTTTACATCAGTGTTCTGGAGTACCACTAATGATATTGTATTGAACCCCACTACGCGTCGGTGACATACGACGTCTGGCGCCACAACTTGCTGCCACAATCTCCGAAGAGGAAACCGGGTTGGGAACGGGTTGAAGCCTTGGATCGCCCCCCTGCCGTCTCCGATAGGCCTGTTCTCTCAAGTACTCCTCATACTGTAACTCATATGCCGTTTTTTTCCCTACCCCTGGCGAAGTCACAGATCCCTGTGGAACAAGCGGTGGCGGCAGTGGTGGTGGTGGTGGTGTGCGGTGCGTGGCATCCTCCTCAAAATTGTTGTTTGGCCCCGTCGTGCTCTGATACTTGGGGTAAACCCGCAGACAGTTCTGTGGCCGCACAAGAGACCGAGTGGGCACGGCGTTGCCGCCCCAGTGTCCCTTCCCACGCTGTGGTTGCCACTTATCAAAATACCTATGAAACACCACAAAATTGTTCGACTGTGGCGTGTATTCGACCAGGCCGTAGTACTTCTGTAAGAATGCCAGAAACTTTACGCTGGGACGATCGATTGCCACCTCCCCTGGGTTAAGACCCTCATTAAGCAACATGGCATCAAAAAGCGTCTTTCCAAACCCTTTTCGCTGGAAGCTGGTGTCTACAAAAAAATCAAGCACGCAAAGTGGATCAATCTCTACTAACGATGAATATGAGGGATGCGTCACAAATAACTTTTTCACGCCCATCTTCAAAATGCCAACACCATAGCCGTCTTGACACAAAAGATACACCCGCGCCTGCCTGTTCTCCCGCAAGCGAGCGACAGAAGTTAATACGGTATTTAAACACTGCGCCTCTTTGCTTCGTATTCCCAAAATATTAATGGTCTGCATGAGGTGAACGGCATGCTCATCGACGTTATTGCAGCGTCTTTCATATTCAAGCGCCGTCCCATCCCACACCGTCACACCATCCGGTAGGCTAAGTTTTGGTAATAATGCCACTTGCGATGTGGAACTCATCTCTACAAGACTCACTGCCGTCAATGGCAGATTTTAACAATAATGAAAATAAATATATAAATGTATAAATATATACGGTACTCCGAGCACGTCTTGTTAATGTGCGCTTCAATGTACGTGTGTGTGTGTAAGAGAGAGAGAGAGAGAGAGAGAAAAGGGGTGAGGGAAAAAAAAGGTCTCCGATATAACGCACACAGTGCCACTCCACTCCACTTCTCTCTCTCACCACTGACTGCAGCCACTTGCCTCGCTTCCACCGACTCACGGCGAGTATGCAATCCGAGTGAGAATGAATATGAATGAACGTAAATGCAGGCACCTCCTCCCCTCCCCTGCCCCTGCCCCTGCCCCCCACCCCCACTCACTCACACACCTGTCCAATTTTCGTTGTTGCTGTTTTTGTCACCACTTTATTTATTTATTTATTCGTTTTTATTTTATTTTATCGTACGTGTGTGTGTGTGTGTTGTTTCCTTTTTTCTTTCTTTCTTTCCCTCCCTCCCCCTCTCTCTCTCTTCCCAAACTTTTCCTTCTTTCTTTCTCTCCCTCCCTTCTTTACACCTGCCTGTGTGTTTGTGTTGTGTCTGTTGGACTCCGTCAATTACGCCCTTCTTTTCTTTTTATTTATTTATTTTTTTTTTTTTAAAAAACTGTTTGCATTACCAACGGCGTGCCCGGTCCACACGCACACACGCGTAAATGAAAAAAAAAAACAGAAAAAAAAAAAAAAAGAAAGCCATTCCCCCCTTGTACACCTCCTTCCCATACATGCATATGCAGAGGTGTAGGTGTATATAAATATATAAATATATAAATATAAAGAAAGAAAGGGAAATGGAAGGAGACAATAAAAATAAATATATAAATATTTATAAAAATATAAAAATATATTTTTATAACCGTAATTTTGTTGGATCTTTAATTCTTTTATGTACAGGGCAAAGTAAGACCCATAAGACTGCTAAGAGGGAAATACCGGCAAAACATACATCTGCCCAACGAATAAATATCCCAATCCCTTTTAAATGCAATACATAAATATTCATTAACGCATTAATTGTTGTTCGTGGACCATATTCTTGAAACGATCTTGAAGCAAATTCTATAATGGCAGGACTTATTAATAATGAAATAGATATATTAAATAAAAGTGCATTTAATGTGGTATCATGTGGTTTTAAAGGATAAATTTGAAAAAATATCAATCGCATTCCAAGTCTCACTTGCCCTTCAAAACTAATCCATATTAAATAAAATATAAATATTCCATATATAATAATTCCAAAAAGTTCAAAAATATTATTTATTGAAATAAGTATTTGATTTAAAAATAAATTTTTATGAAATGTATTATATATAAAAATATGTAATATCCATAAAATAGAAATACATAACGACATAATGCCTAATAATAAACGTCCATAAATTATAAAAGGGGAACCACCTGCTTTTGTATAAGCCCATATCAATTGTTCCTGTTGTGCCTCCAGTAAATATGTTTCATTACGTAAAATATGAATTTTATTTCTTAATGAAATGGAAATGATACCACGGCATTTTTTTTGTAAATTTAACGATAATTCCAATAAAATATCACTTTTTAATGCAATGAGATTCATTTCTTCTTTAAAACGAGATATATGAATGGATTTGGTTCGTTTTATAAAACCAAAAATAAGATCTAAAGGAAACGATATAATCCCTAACCCTCCATAAAATAAAAATGCTATCCAACCTAAAAAACACATTATACCTACACAATATGTAAAAAAATGAACAGGAATTTCTATATTTATTACTTTACCCGTCCCATTATATGAAATCCATTCCATATCTGAAATCAATTGAGGCAATCCTTCATAAGTTAAAACAGGTATTATCGCTATACCTATAAATGTATAACATATACCACATATTATAAAAAATATACTTAATATTCCTATTGTATATAGGATAGCTTGTATAATTTGTTTACGTATTCGATTATAATCTGGATCATATGCTTCATAATAAAACATTACAAATGGTACTATAATAAAAGTCATTGAAAAAAGAATCCAAAGTACAATTTGCCACATAAGTGTCATATTTAATGTATTTATATATTTATTGGGTATTGTAGGATCTACGGAATTTGAAACATCTAATGGCAAAAGTAATACAACTCCCATAGAAATGACCATACCAAGCACAACAATAACTTTCGCACCATACGCCTCACCATCATCTTCTTCTGAGGTAAAATAAAATAATAAATAAACACTAAGCCCTACACAAAGAAGGATAACAAGTATTAAAAGTACAATCAACCACCAATTCAACATCGACACACCGCCACAAAAGTGAAAAAAAAAAAAAAAAAAAAAAAAAAAGAGAGAAAGAGAGAAAGAGAGAAAGAGAGAAAGAGAGAAAAGAAAGACGAATGCACACGTACTGATTTCCTTTTTTTTTGTTTTTTTTGTTTTGTTTTGTGTTTTGTTTTGTTGACTTCCTACTTAATACCACTACGCTCCCCTACAAGAAATTACACGAGTTTTAATCCCCTCCCCTTCCCAATGGCAATGCGCACACGTAAATAAATAAAGGGTTAGGGGGGAAATATAAATATAAATATAAATATTTATTTATATGTGGAAAAGAAACCCGCCAATAGCGCCTCTTTACCACAAACTGCAAGCTGCTTCCAATGCGGTTGATTTCCTTCTTTGAAAAAAAAAAAAAAGAAAAGAAAAGAAAAGAAGAGAAAAGAAAAGAAAAAAAGGCGTAGAAGGTGCGCCCTCCGTTGGCCACGCATAAATCACCAACACATACATACAGATATACAGATATACAGATACCACAAGGCATTTCCCACCACACACACACACGGCAAAAATAGATATATATATATATATATATTATAAAATAGATATGATCCTCCAACACATCTATACACACCATCGGCAGCGGTGTGTTGCTCTGCCTCCAACTTGCTCCTTTGGGCTACATTCTTCATTTCCCATCCTTCTTTCTTCCTTTTTTTTTTTTTCCTGTCTTCTTCACTTCCCCCCCCCCCCCCCCTCTCTCTCTCTCTCTCTCTCTCTCTCTCTTCTATCCATCCTCTCGTTTCCTCATCGCCTCCACGCCGAATGCAGACATACTCACATGCATGCATGTATGCTCCTCCTTCTCTCTCCCGCCCTCTCCTCTTGTTACATCCTCCTCGTGTGGGCGGTGGTGTCAGGCGCCATTGGCAATGGGGACACAAATGAAAACAAATAAAAAAAAAAAAAAGGGAAAAAAAAAAAAATAAATTTATAAGGATTTTCTTCCTTACATAAATAATAATAATAATAATAAACAGTTCTGCTGCTACGGCTCGCCTCTTCTCACTCTCCATTTTTATTTTATTTTATTTTTTTTTTTTATCAACGTCTACATCATACGTACAAAAATAAAAATAAATATCCATATTCCCCTCCCCCACTCCCTTTCGCAAATACACAAAACGTCATTTCTTCTCCTTCCAGACATCACGCATGACAAAAAAAAAAAAAAAAAAAAAACGGGGGCGGATGCAAAGGGGGGGGGGGGGAAAAGTATGTGTCGCTCCAAGGCAATCCTAATTTATTTTATTTTTTCTTTTTTTTTTTTTTTTTTTTTGTGTGTGTGTGTTTCTGGTTTTTGGTTGGTTTTTCCTCTTTTCGCTCTCTTATTCTTCTTCCTTCCGTTTCTCCTTTGTTGTTGTTGTTGTTTTTTTTTTTTTTCCTTTTCTTAAATATAGTCCTTTTTGTTTTTGTTGTTGTTGTTGTTGTTTATTATTATTTACGATTTGGTGAGGGGAGTTAAAGGAAGGAGAGGGGGGTGGGGGAAAAGAAAAAAGGATTTTTTGTTTGTTTGTTTGTCGTGACTTCCGGGCTCCTTTTCTGCCTCCCGTTGCCAGTCCCTCCTTGTCATCGCATGGACATCAGCACGGCATTGACAGACACACACACATATATATATACATACATACACTTACCCCGGGCTTCTGTGTGTATATTTCCCTTCTATCCCTCCCACCCACTCCACATCTCATTCATTCCTACTCCTTCTGGCCTGCTTGGGCGGCACGGGCACGACGAAGTTTTTCAAGTTCCGCGGCCTCCTCTGCCATCTTCTTCCCCTTCTCCAGCACAGACGTGATGCCGCCCACCATGTAGAACGCCATCTCCGGCACCTGATCATATGTGCCCATCAACAGGCCGGAGAAGGACTCAATGGTCTCCTCCAGTTGCACGTAGTGGCCTGTCATGCCAGTAAACACCTCCGCCACCTGAAAAGGCTGGGAGAGAAACTTTGTCACCTTACGCGCACGGTCCACGATAAGTTTATCCTCCTCACTGAGCTCATCAATGCCAAGCACCGCAATGATATCCTGCAGCTCCTTGTACTTGGTAAGCATCTGCACCACATCCTGCGCCACGTTGTAGTGGTCAACGCTGATTACATCCGGGTCCATGATACGCGAGGCACACTCCAGTGGGTTGACAGCGGGGTAAATGCCGGATTCGGCAACGGCACGGTCCAGCACCGTCGTGGCATCGAGGTGGGAAAAGGTCGTTGCTGGTGCAGGGTCGGTAATATCATCGGCAGGCACGTACACAGCCTGCACAGAGGTAATGGAA